ACATCAACCAGATCCGGACAGCTCGGATTCCGAGCCACAGGATAAGGACAGGGCCGATTTGATCCCGCAAAATAGCGGTTTTCACGTTCCTAGGCCAAAGTCTAGGTCATCTTTAGCTGTGAGTGTTGCCGGATCGTTTCCCGCCGTGTTTCACGCTAAAGGTACACTACGAAATTTCTCTTTGGTTTCAGAATCAAAGCGGAATCTACAATGACGTAGAGTACGACCAAGGTGACGTGCACCATTTATCGAAAAACAATATCCCGATGTCTACCTACAGGCCGTACTATCGGACGTGAGAACCGAGGAGAAAGTAATTTAGTTATAAATTGTGACTTGTACCCCGGTTACTTAAAACGAAAAGAACTGACAGCGTGGAGTATTAGGTGTTAAACGTAAGCGGCCGCCAGTGGTTCGTATTAAGCGGTTGATTTGCCAATGTCGGCGAAACTTCTGATAGAATAAGCTCTCGGAAGTCTTTGATGTTGTGTTAATAGAGATTCGCATCGATGCAAGTCAGTCTTAGCGTTACTCGATTCCTGGCGACTAATTTGTTATTATTATAGATATTTATTATCCTAGCACTACTCTCGGAATGATGTATGAAAACCCCCAAAAAATGATATTAAGGCTGTTTCGTGAGAACTTATCAAACGAAGGGTGCATACTGAAAGTCTAGTATTAAAATGATGGCTCCTTTTAATTATTATTTAGTCTAATACTCGTGTTGCAAATGTAATAATTTATATTCTACGGATCAGCGGCAAGGTGTCGACGAAAATCAGATGCAATTTTCACACGTTCTATTCTCCTTGTCGTCACAGTTTTCTTTTTTTTCTCGACACCGAACGCTACACCGATGAACGAACGACAACTGAGCACGTCATATCGCTTATCGTATGTAAATGTTAAGAGTTTACCGCTAACTAAGGATCCTATCAGCGTGGAGGATCGAAGGACAGTATACAGTCGTACCGGCGAGCGATCGCCGGCACGACAAATATTCGCAATTCACCATGTAACTTCTGTAATTGTACATTATATATTTTTGCAAATTGAATACAATATACATTTGAAAATCCATGCGCGTCATTGTTTCTCTTGAAACTCTCCGATGCCCAAGGTACGGTCCGAACGATTGTTCAACCGGGTCGAACGCCGAAAATACTGTGCGCGTAATGAGCAAAAACGTTAAAACCACTTTGCGTGTGTATCGGTAACTTCGGTAACGAACATCGAGTATCTCGTGACAAGACGAACGGATTTATAGAAAAATCGTTTGTGCGACAGAAAGTAACGGTCGACGCTTGGTATTTGATAGTGTTTAACATTCAAAGAAGGAAACTGTTCGTCGCGTCGAAGGAAGTAATGTGATTATACGCTTTAACGCTTCGATTACCATTCGGAAGTGTATCCTCATTTTTTTTTTTCTCTCCTTCATTCTTTTGTGTGCAACTTTTGCTTCCTGCGTTCATCGTGTCAGTGACAAAGTATGGCACCTGACCAAGGAAAAAGGGAGGTGGACCTTGGAGCACGTGACGATTCATTTATATAGAGTCTGCAAAAGTACATTCATAAGATTCCAAGCGGAGACGAACGGAGTGCATCCATTTAATATTATAATAACTTA